TAAATTTCATCAATTTATTTTCGATTATTAATTTATAGGTATAGTGCCCTCATGTGCAAAATCATGTGAAAAATATTAAAGTTTCAAAGTTTTAACATTGTTTTAACTGATAGACTAATTAACTAGAATCGTAAACGAATAACATATATATTCTTCTTATAAAACATGTTTTATTTATTAATTTCGTTAAAAAGATAGAGCTGACCAGACCCTTAACTGTTTAATATGCGTCACGTTCAAATAAAGTAATGCAAAAAATCTATACGACAAAATATATTAGCTCGTTTGATAATTTATTAGCCGTTTCATTAATTTAACCGCAAACATTTGAAAGATGTGTTATATTAGCGTGCCCTGCAGCGTCCATTAAACCGATAGGTTGAAATAAAAATGCAATAAATAACGCCATCACTTGACTGAATATTTGGTGATAAATATAATTCAATAATCGTTTTGAGGGACCCCACATTCTATGACTTTTGGGTTTAAAAGCTTTTGTTTCCAGTATAATAACTTGAATTTTTATATAACAGAGAAAATGCGCCACGTTAAATGGTTTATAGAGTAAAACTAACGGTAGATATTTGATTTAAATTTAACTATATCAATAATGCCTTTTATATTATTCTGTAACCATAGTTTAAGAGTGTTATTTTATTACTATTAATAATTTGATTTGAAAGATCTATAATTTTTGCTAAGCGTACACACGCCTTATTTTCTCTTTTAATCTTATTTTTTATTTAACATTAATGTGATTCATAATTAATTATTTAACGATGTCAGAACTAAATTTAAGAATAACACATACGTTAGAGTTCTACCTAAATTGACAAACCGTTTTATGGATTTTTATTGTATATTATAATACAGGAGCTAAAAGAAATTGAGCCACAAAGACATTCCGTGATAACCCAGTAACTCAATAATGTTTCATGAAGATTCCAAACAATATATTATGGGACAAAGGCTGACGTACGGGGTAATAAACTTAGGGATCCGCTTCTTATCGAGGGGGCAAAATACTCATATTTTCCAAAACTCTTAAATTCTTTTTTATCGGAGGAGTTGTTGTGTTTAGTTAATTAAGTTTAGGACATGATTTTTTTTAAATGGTTCAGTAGCATGTGCATCGTACAAGGTTGTTCGATACTCGAACGATACACTTAAGATAAGTTTAACATGAAGGAAATCATCGCGAAAAATTCTACTTTAACAAAGTCTACACGTGTCATCTACCACACATTTGGATAATTTAAGGCGTTAAGCCCGGCATAGCCAAGTACTAGTCGTAGTAAATGTTAAGGAACTGATAATGCTAATAATATGTTGTTAATTAATATATAGTTTAACGAAGGCTAACAGCTAACTATATGTACAAGATTTTGCTCGTGTTTTTTTCAAAGTCGGTTTATAAGTACCCAAGTCTTTGATGTTCAGCCACGCCAGCGCTAAATTGAGCACTCTCGGGTTTGAATTTAGAATGCATTTTAAAGTGTAAATTAAAACAGAGCTAAATTTCTGCCAATTAACTGAGAGTGGTTTTAATACGCAATTAGACCGCACAAAACAAAGGAAAGAAACTTAAATGAGTTACCGCCAAGTGTTAATTCACTGATGCATTCAACTCAATCCTGGCTTCCATTTACACTGACAGGTGGACGAATTAGGAGATGTCTCAGCAAATATTAATGCATTCCATTCTTGATATGAGTTTTTATTTTATTGTCCAGATATAAATCCACTTAGGACAAAGAGATAAGCCTAAAATCGAATTACGTGCTTCATTACATTAGTACAACGTGGGACCCTTTGCCTCCAAAGAGATATAAGACACGCCTAAGCGATGTAAACCAATGTCCCGTGCACAAAACTGCATGTTCTTTACCGATCCACCTAATGGACGATAGCTGTTGTTAAGCCAAAGTAGACCCTATAACCATTGAAATATAATTCGATGTATAACCAGTTATAATGTTTATTAATAACTGAACACCCGTAAAATTAAACGCATAAGAAATTGAATTATATGATTCACGTCACCGTAACTTTTGTCCCTAATCCAAAAAAGTAAAAAATATGTAAAACAAATTGTTATGGAAAATGACTCATCTTAAATTCGCTTATTTTCCTCGTATTTGTCTTTCTCAATTACTTCTTTGCAAAATCAATACGGTATTTATTAATTTGTGTACCGTGTATAATTTATTTTAAAGCTTAAAATTAAAATCCGGTCGTGGAACAAGAAGCAAACCGATATTTATTTATTTATTTAATTCTTTATTGCAACACACACAAACACAAAGTACACAACAACTATCGAATATGTAAAAACATATTCGATATTTGTGTCTTTTTCAGAATTTTCTGCCTTTATTATACTTGTGAATAATTTTAAGCTTCAAGCGTCATCGGAAAATACTCCCAAAAAAGCCGTAGAACACAATATATTATTTATTTCTTCTTAAAACACAGACTGCTATATTTTTAAAACAATCAAAGATCAATTATAAAAAAAGCAAGTCATGTACCCACACTGTTAAATTATTATAAGGAAAAATTGCAATATCAAGCGAAAAAAAATCTAAAATTTTACCCGAGCGCGGGTACAAAACTCCAATAAAGTATTATTTTATGAAAGCTTATGCTACACTTCGCTGATTTCGCGTTGGATAACGTTTTTCATTATTCGTTTTGAATGTGAAAAAAACAAACAAATATTTTCTAACGTTGTAAGGTCGTTGATTGATTTTATAAGCCGAAATGGATATTATAATGTGCTGTATGTGTGAAAATCTAATAAACGATGCTTTTAAGCGACAATTTAAAATAATCTTTGATCTCGAGCACCAAAAGAGGACTTAGAACGTCCTTTTTCACTAATTGGTAAAGTTTATTTAGGCCAGTTAATGGAATTAAGATCAAGATTATACCAATTGTTTACATCAACAGGCCAATATCCGTTTAAGAATTTTTATTCGAATACAAATCACGATAAAACCTCAATATGGCTGTTTGGAGAGACTTCAATGCAGAATTAGACCTTATACGTTTCAAAATAAATTAACGAAACATAGAAATTCTAATAGAATACTATTTAAAAACTTTAATATTGTTTACATGTAATGGCAGGATTTGACCTACTGTGTCAATTGGTTAGAGGAGCAACACAGAACGCTGTGGATGCCAGTTCAAGTCCTGGCCGTGTCTTTAATTCTTTAAAACTTAAATGAAATTTAAATCTATATAAGCTTACAATTTATGTAGCTTAGTCAAATTTAACGTATTGCCTAGCATTGCGTTAAGCGCGAGATTGGGTTCGAATCCCAGGGAAACAAAAATTGTTTCGTTCAGGCAGGGCACAGAAGTCTGATCAACTACTTGCCTGTTACAGAACGGATCAGTGAAACACAGAAATGTGTTCGCCCCATGCCCCACGAGGGGGAAACGGGATTTCACACTTACAATTTATTTAGAAAACTCTTTTTATTGTACAGATAGTATAAAAATGTTTACCACTACGATCACTGAAGCACAGCATCCTAGAACTACAGAATCGATAAGAAACCCCTTCGTGATATATAACACCCTAGTAGGTCTCATTAAAATCTAAAATAAACAAAAGAGTTGCAGACATCTGAAGATACGATTTCGAAATAAATCCTCATTATAGCCCACAGATTTTATATTAAGACTTACCTACAGTTATAAATAACAAGATGAGAAGTCACTTCACGTATGCTGAGGGCTTTGCAGAACCGACTCGCAAAGCTTGATCTTGAACGATAACTTAATAAAACCTTTACATTCAGTCAGTACCTGACAATAGAGCTTTTAACGATCTTTTGATACTTAAAAACCTATGCGTAAAAAGATTATTAAAAGAAAATATTTGTGATATTTCTCGTCAATAAAATGTAGTTTTCAGTGACTGATACAAATGAACTTCTGAAATAAACTTTTAAACTTAAGTCACGTGGTCACGGGGGTCTCCCCCGCCCCCGGGGCTGCAAAGCATCGAAACTCGGGCCGAATTAATATTATCGGAAACTTAAAGTGTTTTATTTAAAAGATACAAGCTACTTTGTAAACAATTCTATAAATTGTTGAAACGGATAAGTTTGTTAAATCATATTACGTTACTGTTTTTAGTTCGTTAAAACCAAACGTATGGACATACTATGTTTTCTTGGTTTGTTTTTTACAAAGAAAATATAGTACGAATAGTAAAGTTTTTTCTTCAATAATTGTTATATAATCTTTAAGTATGGTCTGTCTGTACTTAACGAGTGTCTGTGCCTGTAGACATGTAAATAAAACACTTTCAACGATTTAAAATGCGCAATATATTAGTTTACAATTTATTTTAAGTACCATCCGATCCTTCGGATGTCTTCTAGGTACAAGCCGTGGTCGCAGGCTCCGTGCTCGCGTCTTAAAAGTGTTTCATTTATATATACATTTTAGCGTAAACTTACGTCCTGATTACGTAGACAATCTATTTGGTTTTGTGATTTAATTGTTGCAAGTACTTTACTTATACATATGTTTATAGTTACATAATATGTCCTTTATAACAATTAGCTTAATTCTCATATAGCCTTTATTAAATACACGCAACTTACTCCTACATTTATCAATGACCGTAGCCTTGCTATTCATTCATAGTAAACTGACCTTTCTGCACACCTTAGTTTTTTACTATATGAGACGTTTGAAATGATAAAATTTGAAAATAAATCGTGCAAATCTTTTGGGCTATCGATTCGATTTTCCCTAATATAAATTATGACATCATAATATTATAATGTTACAAAGTTGAACCTTATGCATTTCCCTAACTTCGTCTTATAATCTAAAGTGAGGTCAATGTGTCGCGTCATGGCGACCCATGAGATGCGCAAACGCACGAGGACGAAGGATAATCTTCCTATAAAAATCTCGGAGGACCCCTAGCGGACACAGTTTCGTACACGCCGCGGACTCAGAAGGACATCGAGATGAAACTGGTGAGTCCTTGGCGGAGTGAACAGTGAACAATTTTGAGTGAAAAATGATTGTGTTAAAAATATTTATAGTCGTTTAAAATAAAATTATAAAAAAGAGTGCAAGTGTGTCGCCATTTAAATACATTTGATTTAATTCAAACTTGAAAACATATAAGGGACTTTAAAAAAATAATTTAGAAAAAAAAAAAAAAGTTATTATTCGTGGAACTCGAACCCACATCGAACAGTGTTTGTTCCACCTATTGAGCTACTATTCAAAATGTCTAACCTTATTTCATACATTTTTATTTATGTTAAACAAAGTTATTAAAGGATAAAAAAACCCGTTATACTTTGAAATAACCAAAATCTATTTTATTGTTGCAGCTGTGTATATTCGCCGTGCTGCTTGCTATTTCGTTAGGTAACGAAATAGAAACGCAAGAACATCATGATTTAACTGCATTAGAATCGGTACACGAGGACCCCAAACCTGTAGTTGTCAACGAACTACCCAGGAGGAAAATAAAACGCCGAGTGATCCGGCCACGCTACTACGGAGGCAACAATTACAACACCCCACAGAACAACTACGAAAACCCACAGAACAACTACAACACACCCCAAAACAACTACAACAACCCCCAAAACAATTACAACAACCCTCAAAACAATTACAACACACCCCAGAACAATTACAACACACCTCAGAACAATTATAACACTCCTGAAAACAATCAAAACACGCCGCAATACGGCTACCCCCAGAACAACAACAACTGGTCAAACAACCAAAATTCGTGGGACAACTCACAGAACAACGGTTGGACGAAGCCTACCACGAGTCGACCAGTTCAATCAACCTGGACCCAGGCACCTTCTACCACCACGACGAGTACCACACCAGTTTCGGTGATCAAGAACGAACACACGATTGGTGACAATGGCAGCTACAAATACGAGTAAGTACTTTAACTATTATTAACAAATTTAAAACAATGTCACGTTATTTCTGACACATAAGTTTTACTTTAGTTATAACACTCGCTAATGAAGTATTCAAAGAATTGATTCCTATAAAAACGTTAAATTTAATCCGAAAAGGTAATATCGCGGACTTTTAAAAAAATCATTTTTTTTTACTAATATGATATGTTTATGCACGCAACGAAAACCCCTTAAAGATGAAAAATTTCTTAATTAAGCTTAAAGTATTCCTTCATAAATGTTCTAACACAAAAAGATATTTTCAATTCGAAGTGTACTTTTTAAGATTAGCGCGTTCATACAAACGAACAAAAAACTCCCTAGCTTTGTCATATTATAGTATAGATCTAATTGCCCTATCACACGCGAAATTATCACGAACCGTTTGACATTGTGATCATTTAAACAGCCTTATATTTTAGCAGTTACGTACAAAAGCGTCGAATTGTGCTTTCTTAAGGAAAATGCACAAATTCTAATGTCAACGTCCTTCACTAAAGTCGAACGAAAATATTTCCTTTCACACAATTAAGGACCTGGTCACCGCAATCGGAACTAAAAATTTATGTATCTTGATAGCCCATAGTCGTTTTAGGGGCCCGTCGTAAAACATAAAGTTTTCGCTAGTTATAACTCATACGCTCATATCTTTCTAAAAAGCTGTGGTGTTTTTTATATTAAAGCCTGGTTTAAAAATAATGTGAGCTTTTTATTTGGTTACAAATATATATTATCAATTATGATACACAAGTCAATAAATTCCACCAAAAAAGCTTAATGAAACATGATATTCTGATCACTAGTATCTATCTATATAGAAAAATAGTATTATTAATATACTTGAAAATTTAAAAATTAAACTAAGACAATTCTAGTAACACAATATTCTTAGAGAACTTATCTTCCAAAGCGCAACGAACTTGACCACTTTTTTTACCTGCACTTTCCTGTCCAAGGTTATTCGTGGCCGCTCTTAATTTTGCGAACGAAATAAACGCGTGGTCGTAATGGCCCAAGTCTTTCTCAGCTTAATTTATAGCAACCGAGCTTTAAATTAAGGGTTTTATTTAGAAACTCAAGTATAGATAGGAACGACTTAAAGTGACTCACGCTTTTACAAACATTTTGACCATTGACCTGCGTCGTTTGAAACTGTTTATCGACAAAAAAATACAAAAACATGTCGTATTTTATTTAATGTTACTAGAAACTTAACGGTTTCGTCGATTGTATATAGATTTGACATAAAAATGTTTCCGCGACCCAGCCGGTTATTTTATGGCTAATTTAACTGTATTTAAATTTGGCTAGCTAATTACCATAAATGGAGGCATCGATCCAAATGCCTTTTAGATACCACTTCACAAATTCACACATTTTTATTTACAGTATTATATAAATATGTATATTTGTTCAAAATAAATACACTGGCTTATCCACGTAATTTTTCACTTTTTCCAGACAATACTATGATATTATGTTACATTATATACATAAACTTACATTTGTTAATTTTTTTTTTGTTATGATGGATAAAATATCTCATGCTTATAAAATTTTGCATTTTAAATGTTTTGCATATTCGGAAATTAACACACTGTAACCAAAACTTAAACTTAACGGCTTTTCATTTGTGGGGGGTGGTTTGTAACTCGGGTGAAATTTCGATATTCCTATGAAATCGAAATTTTTTCCACATATTCAACAGTCACAAAAAATAAAATTGAAGAAATATAATAAAAAGTAAGAGAGAAATACAACTTACTTTTTTCTTTTAACATACTAAGTTTATATATCTTTTTATAGAAATGAAATAATGTTATATGTTTATACAGTTATTTGATATTCATGTTGTGTAATTTTTATATTCTACCCAGATTATTAAATACACTGTCTTATAGGTGTCAAGTTAGTTAGTGTGTCTCCTAATCGAGCAAATGTTCTTTCCAGATACGAATACGGAGATGGCACTCACGTCATGGAAGAGGGCTACGTACTAAACCCGAACACCGAGAATGAAGTCGTAGTCAAGAAGGGAATGTACTCTTTCGTCGGAGCCGATGGCAAAGTGTACACAGTGGAATATTGGGCTGATGATACTGGTTACCACGCAACTGGTGCTCATCTTCCCCAGCCTCATCCAATTCCACCAGCGATTCAGCAGTAAGTAAAAATACTACAGCTAAAAACTAAATAGTTTATAACGCAATTGAAAATACATTTTCTGCGTATATTGTAACTAAATATCTGGAAGGAAACGGCTCAATACGAAGCTAATATTTTACGACGATGATAAAAAATATAAAGAATACAACCATTTTTGAAACGTTTATTCTTAACTTATATATTTTTCGATCAGATCGATTGACGAAAATGCTCAAGCCGAGAAAAATAAAGAACAGCAAACTGGATATCCTCAAGCTCAAGAACCGCCAAAGCCTATTAAGCCACCAACTCAGAACAAACCAAGGCCACAACCTCAACCCAAGCCACAACCGAAACCACAACCACAACCTCAACCGAACCCTTACCCTCAAGAATCTTACCCAAGCCAACAACCGTCTTATCCTAGCCAGCAACCCACTTACCCCAGCCAACAACCCAGTTACCCCAGCCAACAGCCCAGTTACCCTAGCCAACAACCCAGTTACCCCAGCCAACAACCCAGTTACCCCAGCCAGCAACCGACCTACCCTAATCAGCAACAGACTTACCCCAACCAGCAACAGACCTACCCAAATCAGCAACAAGGTTACCCTCAAGAAGAACCAAGCTTCTACCCTCCACAGTCTTATGGAAAATAATTATAGATAAAAACAAGACTTCAGCCATAAGTTGAAGTCACAAAACACTCGTATAATGTTACCTCAGTGTATTTCTGTATCAAGTACGTGGGTGAGATATAATACATGTAGGAAGAGCTGAATGTTCAAATATTATACCCACCTACTTGAAACGGTTTAGCTATAGGCGAATCAGTGATCTCGATCACGATAAAAAATTGTGAACTTGATTTCTGTGAGCGACGAAACCATTTGTGATATTGATTTTCGATGCCAGTTGTAGGTTTAATTTACTTAATAAATGATAATAAATATTATGGAATTTCATTGGTATAACAGAATGTCAACAACTTATGAAATATTAAGGGTGACACCTCGTAATCTAAAGAAAATATTTATCCTGAAATCGGAAAACGATTGTATGTTTTTACAGACCATATAAACAAATAATATAATATAACTAAGCAATTATTCAAGACCATTCGAAATTCTAATCTTTAGAAGTAAAATTAACTTCTAAATATTGGAATTTCGAATCATTGTAACGTGTCAACAAATTGGTTTAGCAACAGCACAACATGCTAATAAACTGCATATACTTTTCAATTTTAAAATAGTCGTCATAGTAAAATACGTATTAAGTGTTGACTGTAATAAAATACTTTTAACAGTTTAAGACGTGGTTTTCTGTGAACACGGTTTAAATAAACCAAAAATAACATTTTATGAATATATTTCGCGCTTTAAACCGGCAAAAATGTAAAAATTATTCTTGGTCACCGTTTAAATGGTTCAATGAAACAATATTACAAGACACTTGTAATACATTATGTATGTATTACAAGTGTCTTGTAATATTGTTATTGATAACATAGAAGGAACTCCAAATACGCAAAACGATTTGTCAAAGTTAAGACCGCTCTCAAAAAATCAATATTTTGAATAACCGGTCGAAAAGGACATTGACTTGCGCCTGCTGTATGAATTGCATCATTTACACTTTCAGAATCGCATCGACTTCACTCGCATTCTATTTAGGATGTCCAATTTATCGGAACATTTATCGAGATGTCCCTTTCAAATAAAGTTTGTTGCGGCTCTACCCTTTTTTAATTAATAAAACAGCGAGGGCCGCAAAAAGACGAGCGCGTGTCATTCGCTTGCATCTGTATTGTTTGTCTGATTGCTAAAACGCTTTCTCAATTCATTATTTCATATTGGGTTTTTACTTTATTAAATACCGCTAATATATTAATTTATATACAGACGTTTTGAGATTTACTGAAATTCCTTTTTTTTACTGCTACAGGAGGACAAGCACGGGTTTCACTTGATGGAAGGCTTATAACATCTTACAATTTGACTACTTACTATTTGAATATTGGGAAATTACTGAGCCAATACATTTTAATACATTTTAACTCAGATATGTCCCTTGACCACGGCTGCTCCAAAACTTTGGACTGTAGTTTCAAATCGAGTTTCAAACCATTAAAAGTATTTTATTTAAATGGGTAAATAATACATAGAATTATTTTCGTTCATCGTTTCAAAGAGCACTGTAATATAGTAACAAAATTGAATTGAAACAACTCACTAACTTCTATTATGCAAAACCACTGTAATTGATGTAAAGTTTTATGAACTAATGTTTATAGACACAACTACGTATTACTTTCATTAAAACTTTATTTTATATATCTTATATAATAATATAAAAATAAAATTATTTAATGTATATATTTTCTATAATTATTGACACACGCTTTTATACAGTACAATGTACAATTAAATCTTGAATCAGTATGTATCTTTTTGTTAAATTATATTTTTTTTCTAAGGATGGAACAATTAGTTGACTTGCTTTACATATCGTGTACAAGCATCCGCAGATGATTATGTACTATATAAAATGCTATATAAAGGTTTCCCCGAACTCGAATCCACAGCCTTTCGTGTTGAACGCAATGCTACTCAACACGCTATAAATAACCATAATAACGCACATATCTCGCTTTAAGAAATAATCGCTTGAAGATAGCATTTCCTTAAATATATGTTTTATACTGTCGTCTTCATTCCAACTTGGACTCATCATAAACGTCGCGGAGAAAACAATACACACGAGATTTTCACGAATGCCTGGACATCGCGTGCATATAAATATATGCGGAATTCATTTTCATTATCAGTGTAATTTCTACTTGTGTTTCGTCGTGACGTACGATTATTGTAAAATCTAACAGCTTCTATTGAAATGAAGCTGGTAAGTGGAAGTGGAATTTCGTGATCAGTGATAACACATGGTGTAAATGGATTTAATAAATTATCATATGCTTTCAGGTAATACTTTTAATTACAAATTTGGCAGCGCTTATATCATGTCAACGTATACAACAGGACCAATATCCATTTCCGCCGCAATTTCAAACTCCCGGTTCGGGTATGATGGTATCGGATAGTTCAATATATTTGCCACCTGAATCACATACCCCAATGCCTTATTTCTCAGTCAATAACATGAACAAGCTGCCGTTCCAACTTTTACCGCCTAGTGGGACTAAAGTGCCGTCAGTATATCCTACCCTACGACCCAGTTTTGATGATGATGAAGAAGAAGATGATAATGATGACCATGTGAAACAAATTCAGATTACCTCACCGAGACCTATGTTCAAACAACAAAGTAAACCGAAGAATGTTACGGAATCTAATCAAGAAAAACGAGAGACAAGAGCAATTCCTAAAACGTTTGATTTTCAATCACAGCCACAAAATAAAATGGATAGAAAGCAATTCGCGCCAGTACAACATAATTTGCTAACTCAAGAGCCGCCTAACCAAAACTTAGCAGCAAGACGAATGATATTGACAAGTGAGATTCAACGAAACGATGATCACCTGAAATCATATTCATCTTCACAATATTCACAGCTTCCCAATATTTTTTTTTCATCAACAACCGAACCCGCTATACCAATCTTACGTTTATCTAATGAGATGGATTTAGATGGAAGTTTTAGCTATGAGTAAGTTGATTTTAAAATGATTTTTTATTTCTTCTTAAATTTTTATAATAACCTTTTGTGCGATCTATGGTTTGTTAAAGTTTTAATGGTCTGATCAGGGCTTTAGGTGCAGACCAGACCCATTACGTGCAACATAGTCGCATGGAAAATATGGGCTCTGGAAAAGAAGAGCAAGTTGTAGAAGGTTCGTACTCTTATGTCGGTGATAATGGGCAGACGTATACTGTCCATTATGTAGCAGACTCTAATGGATACAGAGCCAGTGGCGATCATTTACCATCACCTCCACCAATACCAGAAATTATACAAAGGTATATTTCATATTAACTTATTTCCTAAACCATTTAAGGTTAATTCTTTTTTATTAATGAAATAGAATTGTGCATAAATGACAATTGTATAAAAGCTTTATTTAATTTACAGAGCTATTCAATACAACTTGGCTGAAGAAGCAAGAAGACCTCCGCATTTAAGAGGTTCATGGGAAGAAAATGATTCAGAAAGAGAAAATAGCGGTGAAGATAAAGAATTTCACTATCCTCTTCCACCAACTCGAAACTTATTTACTGGTAGGACACCAGAAGCGTTTTCATATGGGTTTTCGCCGAACGGTAACATTCAAAATAATCAACCGGTTACATCAGCCAGCACTCTTATTCCCAAAACAAGCTTCGATATAGCGGTTGAATTAAGCAAACAAAAAGCGAACTCTGGACCGATATCACCTCAAATAACATTTGCAGCTTCTCAAGGAAACCATAATCCTTCTTCACCTACACAACAAGCTGCTACAAGAAATTCACCTAATGAAAAGCCATCATTACCACAAATAATGAACTATGAAGCAAGTTCAAGGGAAATTGAGCAAGAAAATAAGCCACTATGGAGATGGCAATATGGTATGAACGCAAATAGTGCTGAACAAAATCCCAACAAAGACACAATATCTCGGTCATTCGCAGAAGGAGATGACGTCATAATTAACTTCAACGATATGACACCACAACAATATACTGACATGATCCAAAGCCAAATATTCCAACGATCTGAAGGTGAAACATATAGTAGTAACATGCAGAAAACGTTTTCGAAACAAACTCCAAATTCGCTAATATCAGATAAAGCACAGTACATCACTAACCAAATTAAAAACTTTAACAATAATGAGCAAAACCGCCAAATATATGTAACACCGAAGAATGATATTCACGAAAGTGCCAATAAGAATTATTTCAAAGACCATAGCAGCAATCAATTTCAGAATCAACCAACTGTAGATGGTGGATATTCTACTGTAAAACAAGAAACTGTTACATCTACAAGTACTGAAAATATCAATACTCAATCTGCTATAGAAAATTATAAAAAATTTAATGAATATAACACAGAAAATAAAATGCAAACTAATGTAAGAACAGATCCGTACTCAGGATTAGTCCGGCAGCAAAACTTCCTACCCCCAAGTCAGTTAGTAACACGATCTTATGATTACGAGGACATAGCATATGAACCTAAAAGGATTTACGAATCTTTAGACATGCACTATAAGAATAAAGAAAAGCTGAATACCCAAAGGGAAAATAACGTACCGCCAAGTCAATACTGGTATTCAACAGAAGCAATAACAAAAACTACAACAGCAACTCCGTACCAATACAGTACATTAAATAATTTCCATGTATCTACTGCAGGATACAACGAAGAAAGCAGTAGCTTTAGACCGATTAATAAACATTTAACGAAAGATTCCAAAAAACAAGAAATAACGACAACCGAGAGAACTATGGATGAATTGTTACAAGAAAATATTTTTTTAAAAAACATAGTACGGGGAAAAAAGGAAGAAAATGTTCAAAAAGACGTAACAGAACGTAAAGAACAAGAACATTTAAATTTAAATAGGGAAGTCAAAATTGAAAAGCCAACTAAACACATCCAGTCTTTGCTTAAACCGCAAAGCGAAGTAAAAACGTTAAAGAAAAAACTAGATATAAATGATGTACTGAATTATATAGCAATGAAGAATAGCTTTGAGCTAGGAAAGACAAAACCTAAGACCTTCTCTAGTGCGAATAGTTATCAAAGCAAAGCGACACCGCTTAACTTTATACCTCTTAGAGATGAGAAAGAGGAAGAAACAGAAAAAGCAGAACAAGAAAACAGTACACATCGTACATTTAGTCAACAACAAGATGAATTACAAGGAATGATAAGAAATTATAAAGTGCTTCAACGGCAAAGAAACTCTGCTCAGAACTCAGGTGATAACCAATATACGGATTCACAACAGAGGCATGTCAAAATTTTCCACTCCGACAGTCTTCCCCCCCTGGGCCGAGCTGGACCCTCCATGAAGAGCTATCTGCCCCCAGCATATTTATGAATTGTGTTATCTGTGATTAATTAATAATATTTTGTAAATAGACTGCCGAAAAGCATTTACTAATGTAAGTATTAAAGCGTTTAAACAAATTATGGCTTCTTATGACTGAAATACAAAACCACAAAAAAAAACTAATTTAAACTTTGTTAAGTAAGTTAAATCTTTGGCTTACACACTGTCTATAGTTAACGCGAGCAGTACACATATTTAAATAAAACAGTTTAACGGTTTAAAACGCTATATGTTAGTTAAACTTATTTGAAAATGATTTTTAACTTCGGCCCGAAGTTTCGGATGTTGAACAAAAATATTTTCAAATAAGTTTTCTAGTATATCGCGTTTTAAACCGTTAAAGTGTTTTATTTAAATCTTTGGCTTAATTAACACCATTAAAACAGTTATATTCTTGTGTAAACGACCAATACAACTTAATGACATGCTATACATAAGTAGGACATATTTTTTCTTTACTTAATAAAAGGGTATTTAATATATCAATTCTCAGTAACAGAAAGTGGGCCACAATGAATTTCATTCATAACGGATGAATGAACCAGAGAAATATTTAAAAGTTCATACTGACAGGCGTGTGACGGAATGTTTATCAGGTAAAGTATATTTATAATGTCTCAATTAGCACAATGTATCCACTATGCATGTATAGCTGTGGCTATAACTTCTTCGAGTATAATAGTTATTTAGGGTATCAAAATTTGGTGCCCACCCCCTCCTCATCTTTATAAATTTTAACTTAACCACGACGTAGTGCGCGTTGTTCTTGCATTTAATTTTTTAAATAATTGTTTAAATAATAAACAAACAATATCTTCAAAGTTTTCAGTTTTAAACTATTCATCTAATTCTGCACTAAACTGATAAAACTTTCCAGAAGAAAACAGTATCTTTTAATCTCAAATAACACGCAATTAATTTCACTATTAAATTTGAAAGCGTAGCGACGAGCCAAGATGCATTCCACAGATTCACCCATAAGATGGCCTACAAAACATAATTGTACAATGTGCGTATTCACTCTTTAACGGAACATGTATAGTAGTAATGTATTTTAGCGTCATTTCTTTGTTACAATAATATTTTAAGAAATATTTTTGGCAATAATTATATGTATAACAACACTAACTGTGCCAGCGACTTCGTCCGCATAGAGCGTTATTTTGCGTACCAAAATTAGTGTTTTATTCTTTATATTCCATATATATTGCACTACTAAAATATAATATATTTTAGTATAGATACGTCACAAAAAACTTTCCCTAACGAAGAAGAATAGTAGGAGCGTTTTAGCGTGTTACAATGCAATTTCAAGACATATTTTCGCCATAATTATGTAACTATATAGCAACATAGATTAGCCCTTTGTCATCATTAATTATAGTAAATGTAAAGATCACCCTAAAAACAGGAGAACAGAGCCTCGAGGCTTCGCAAAAAAAAAACAAGAATATTCCCAAATCAGAAACTTAAACTCGCCCAACAGGCAAGGAAGCTTATTGTCATTCATTTTACACGTTTTCTTTTTATTTGATGCTTAATTAAACCCAAATCTCCCTCATTAAGCATTCACGAATGCCTAAACAACGGCATTGTTTACGTAGACATTTTGCTCTTTAAGTAAAACAAAGTTAGACATTTCTATAATAAACTCGTGGGTACTTTTACACTAGAGTTGGTAATGCATATAGATTTATATGTACACTTTGCACGAGTGGCAGACATTAAATAAAATAGTAATCTATACTCAAATTTTAAAACAGAGTTTGTTTGTTTGTATGAACGCGCCATTCTCAGGAATTACTGGCTCGGATTTTTGTGTTACTTAGAGCATTTATTGAGGTAAGCTTGAGTCTATAAAACACCACCATGTGACTAATAGAAGCGAAGAAACAGCGGGAAATGTGAAAGAAACGGGGAAATTTATTCATCTGAGATTCCGTCGCGTACGCTGCGAAAATGGTTCAAGATACACAAAAAACAAGATGCAAAGAATGATTCCTCTTTAAATTTTGACGCCCATAATAGTTATTCTATGTGGACGTAGTCGCTGGCACAGAAATGATTTCAATGCGAATTATATTATTATTTGTTTTAAGTATTCGACATTTCGAGCGCTTTACAGCACAACAACACTACAAGTATCAAAAGATGTGTCCCATTTAAAATTAAATGTATATTTGTAAATAAATTTTACATTCCGTTGATTAAATGTACACACATTTCATACAATTAATTAGAACATAAATGGAAGCGAAATTTTAAAGAAGCTTTTTTAAGAATATTGTCATTTTGTAAACCATAAAAATACTATAATATTTAGTTTAAAAAACGTATCAAATGTATCTAAGTATATGCTCGAGTATAAAACGTGAAGTACTTCTTAATTACATTTTATTAAAAAGACGTAAAAAACCTTTTTTTTTAAATCAGTTAAAAATACATTAACGTTATTTTATACCAACTTTTAACTTGAAATTATTTAACTAAATGTAATATTCGTCTCACGTTCATTTCTATTACATTAACTTCCACCCCTTTCCTATTATTCAAAGAAAGGTCACTTCCCTCCCCAATCGTAATAATGGTCCTAGAAATAAAAACAGGAACTTAATTACTTTTCGCCCACATTTCAATAGAAATAGTATATACAAATATAAAAAAATATCATTATTTCATGGAAATGTATAATCTGTTTAAATATAACACTTTAACGGTTTAAAACGCGAAACATATGAGTTAAAATTATTTTAACTACGGTCCGACATTTCGGATTCTTTGCAGCAGCCGTGGTCACGGAGTTACACGTGTACGGTGTATAATATTTACATTATCCCCTGAGAAAATACAGGTTTATTCCCGGATGAAGTACCTAGTCCATAAATTTTGACCAACAAAGAAGAATTACCAATCATAGCATTCATACAAATAGTGTATAATGTGCAAGATTAAAAAAAATAGTATTATGCAAAAAACGAATATTTAAATAATTTCCTCATTTTTTAAAGAATATGTAAAAAATAACATATTTCAAACTTAATTTTTCATTGCTTTTAATCATGTCAAGTTTTTATATACACGTGGATCATTTATAATTATCATGATTTCTACCACATCCATATAAAGATTTTTTTAAAAGCACCCACGTTATGTCAATGTCATTTTCTGAATAGAATATTAACCTGTCACAACCAGACACTGCACTATGCGGCTTTAAATCAGTCATTAACTGCGCAATAAACTAAAAAGTCAAAAACACAACTCTTAACAGCGTTTATCCCTCGCTGCAAAGGGGTAATTTTTTATTATCGCAGTAAAACTTGAATGACTGAAATGTTTAATCAACTACAACTATGAATATATGTAAATAAATATGAAAGATAATAAGTTATAGGCCCAAATATCTATGATACTGACACGTTTTGACGAGCTCCTTGGGGTTGGGGTCCAATGGTAGCAATTTATGCCCAATATCAACGGGTCGTGGGTTCGAACCCCACCGGGTCCAACTTATTTCAAATTTTTATAAAACATGGACTTCGTTTGGAAATCTGGATGTAAATGGGTGGTAGACATATAGAAATTCCGTCCGGGTCACGACCACAGATGAAAAGCCATGAAGCTTAATCGAGTTTCGGTTTGAGGATTTCCGAATATCCAAAGCCAAAATAGGTCGACTTGTTTGAGTGGATCTTGTTTAGGTGCTTGCAGGGTAGGGTATATCTCCTACCATCGAGTGAAATCATTTAAAAAAACTTAAAGAAGTCGTAATGATAAACAAACGAAGATGAACAACTTATTAAATGAAAACATTATATTCTATGTAATATTCTATAATATTCAGTAAGAGATAAACAGTTATGAAAGTCATTGAAATCAAAAATAACAAATCTATTTGTCTGTTAAACCGCCTCCATAGCTAAACATTTAGACGTGTTGTAATGCGTTAAGCGATCCTGCAGTATATAGTTTCGGTCGGGTAAATAATACTGAAACGGACACAGAAATATGTTCGCCCCATACCCCAATCCCCATACGGGGAAACGGTATTTCACTTTTCTGTTTACGTTTAAGCCTTGCTAGATTTTATGCTTTATTAGTTTTTAATACAGCATGATGTATTTTTCGAAAAATCTATATTGTAAATGTATGTACAATTGATTCTCATATAAAAACTACTGTAACGAACATGTAACTACACATATCAAAATCATTGTATTATACCAAATTAGGAGTTACATGAAAGAGGTGTGTATGTAAGTGTCATATTACGAATATTAAAGACATGTTTATTAGTGTTAACATTTGTGTAGGTATATGTACGTTTGTGTATGTACATATTATATATATGTATTTTAATGACATGAATGCGAAGTAAAATAAAGTATCAAATTCCGTTTTTCCTGTGTAAAATTTGATGAAAATACTTCACAAATCCATTTTATTACAGGCATATAAAATTGAATGTACTCTCTGGAATTCAATACAGGTAGCGTTTAAGATTTAGTCATGATGGCAGTCAGAAAATAACATAGAAAGGGTATTTTTATAATTGTTACTATTTGATAAATAGAATTATAGTTGTGATTACACCGACAAACAATGCTATAAAATTGACAAGTACAATTTGAAAACTTATTATAAGAGAAAAACAAAATTACATTGCAACCGCCACTCACAAAGCCATTATACAATAACAGAAATTCTGACAAGAGTACCGCAAACTCACTTATGGTAGTAGCTTAGCATAAACAAGTTACACAGACCGATCGATTTCCTCTGCTCAAAGTCAGGAGCCACATTGAAAAGGACATCAAAGTGGGAACGCAAATACAAACGGAAAAATATGTAAATTCTAATGCAACCGATGGTAAGATCAAAGTCTCTACCCGTCTCTACCCATTCTGATTTTCGCTTTATTTTTCCTTGCAAGACGTGTCTAGTAAGAGATAGCTTAACTATTAGGCTCTTTTCAGACGCTATATGTCATATATAACAAATGAATGTCGCGTTCAATTGGTAAATCTATACTAATATATAAAGCTGACGAGTTTGTTTATTTGTTTGAACGCGCTGCTTTCAAAAACTACTGGTTCAAATTGAGCTAAGATATTATGTGCCAAAAAAATATGTGTGAATTATTATGTGCTATTATCAGATAAGGATACCAAAAATGGATCGTGTTACATATAGATCAGTTACTATAATGACGTTGAAATCTTTTGTATAAAAACTCATATGAGATGGTGCACCATTTTAAAAGTAATTATTAATGAAATGATTTATTAAACATTTTGGAAATTAAAAATATTGCTTTATTCGAATATTATTCTAGTACAGGTATATAAATTTAGACACACTCCGAGATATCAACTGGTTCTTTTTGAAGTATGAGGGTTTTCGGCGAACAGGGAACAAAACAACGGAATTTAGGCGTATAGTTTTATTGAGCATTAATGGCCAATTTATAGTCTTATAAGAATCCTAATATCTTCCGAACAACCTTAACGATCTAAGTTGGGTTATAAAAGAGGTTGTTTAATTACCACGATAATAAAATGCAGGTAATTATTACTTAATATTCTCTAGACATGAAATTTTGTAATATAATAAAACTCAAAGAAGCGGTACAAGAAAAACACTGAATTTATAATTAAACTAACGAGATAATCTAATGAAGAAGGTACTTTTAAACTTTGTATATACATTTTTTTAATAAGCTTCTCACGTAAATTTGTATATGTTTGTTCGCGTTTTCGTTTCTGAATTTTGATGATTCGTTTTTGTTGATGTTTCGATTATAATGCTACTTCAAAATGATATTTTAAAAAACTTACTTCTACGGTACATTTGTAGTATCAATTCCAATCCAATATCATCTGAAACATTTCCTGTATTACACAAGAAAACTTTACCTGAAAATTTTAACTGCACTTCAGCTGAGTTAGAGCCAAACCTACTTTTGAAAGACATATAACACAAGACAAAAGGTCCAAAACATTCGGCGATTAATAAAGAGGCCAATAAACTCAAGTTTCCAGTTCCCGGAAAGGTCTTTTGCTTTTTGCGCATTATATCATAAAATGTCCTGCGCCGTTTTGTGCTTCATTTATCAATGTTCAACTGAGAATTGCCGATTAAAATTGCTTTATATAGATAACTTTGTATTTTATTATTATTTGCGCTTAGTACGAGATGATAAAAGGACCAAAAATAGAGAAAGACGTCATCAAAAATGTTGTAACGCAATATTTATTTCCTTAGTCGAACCCGTTTGCCGAAGAGTGGACACATTGCTGTGTCCGTTTACGGCCAGTAGTTGTTCGGTCTCCTTCGACTGACCGAAACTATCTATTGATTTCCCGGGATTCGAACCCAGGACCTCCCGCGATTAACGCAGTAATCATTTATTTAATAATCCTACTGATGCAGAAACGAACAAAAGACAATATAAATGCTCTGTATATAATGTACTACATAACACTTGTTTGCCCATCTTCTATAGGTAAATAGACATTGTCCTGAATGTAATAATGTTATCTAAGTACAGTATGTGGAGGGGGGCGCAGACGGCGGCCTGCAATGTCATCATGGCGATTAATTAGTGGAAAATGAACATCACACCGTTCGACATTTTCAATTACAGCTATCCAAAGCGAAACCTGATTACCGCGCGAAGGGAATAGTCGATCAGACTAAATATCGCAAATTATTTTAAATTTAAACTAACTCTTACATAAAATACTGTCTATAGTTTACGGGAGTAGAACACATTTAAATAAAACACTAACGGTTTAAAACGCGATATATTAGTTAAAGTTAAATCATTTTCAAATAAGTTTAACTAATATATCGCGTTTTAAACCGTTAAAGTGTTTTATTGAACTTAAACATAGTTATTTAGAAAATAACGAATTAATTATTGTTGATTTCAAATCTGTAGTTTACAATAATGGTATACTTTAAAGAAGGCACTTAACAGTTTAATTACAATAGTACCTAATATAAGTAATATTACGAGAAACCAGATGGCGCTAGCGCAAGACCAGATTAGAAGTACCGAACATAGTATATTTGGTTCCCCTATCCCCAGTGACCACGGAAATCACAACTTTATAAAGTAGGTATAAGGCGTACTGTAATAAATAAATAAAGCATCCAACACGTTAGCTTAACTATTCCGTCTTTGTTTGACTCTGAAAATTTGCTTTATATTATTGGTTTAATTTTACACTAAAAAAGTTATTACAAAAACATTATGTTGCTCAATAACAAAAATTTCAAGGACTAGCCTTGGAGAATATGAATAGCTGATCATATAATATGGAATTTATTTCTTAACTAACTCATGATACTACTAACCGAAAAATATGTTATCTGTGACAAATTGCATAACATCAAAACACAACTGTAACAATTCTTGCCAAGAGATCAGAACTTCGTAGATAAGTGACAGGAAACATGATTCAAGACGTAAACATCTCAAGTTAAAGCAATAATATCACTGAAAACACATTTATACATATTTCTATTTTTACTTGAAATCTCTAAAAGTGGATAAACAGTTTTTGAGTTAGTTATTATTCAGTACTGGTCATTCAATTTTAAAATTACTTATATAACAGCCGTATTAAATAACAATATGCACTAAGTCCATGTCAAACTTTTTATTCTATACAAATATATAAAGCTAAAGAATAAATTGAGTAAGACTTTCACGGCTATCGTTCAGCATCATCAGGAGATGTTAACTCCTCGATGGCTCGAAGAATTAATCAATCGAGGACTTAACATCTCCTGATGATGCCGTCCACACGTGATGGCGAAACGTCGAGAACCTCTTCTCGCTCACATCGGCCGAACAGCCCGAAAGACAATGATATGCTAAAGCTGAAGAGTTTGTTTGTTTGTTTAAACGCGCTAATCTCAGGATTTACTGGCTCGAATGAAAATTTGCTTGTATTGGTTAGAGCATTTATCGAAAAATATATATATGGCTATAATGTACCGTGCTGAGACTAATAGGACCGAGGAACGACGGGAAATGTGAAAAAAAACGCGGTAAATTATTCAACCTATGGGTAGAGCAAGATCCCCAAAAATATGTATGAAAGTATGATCATTCTGTAAATCAGCATAGACAAAATATAGGCATTTTAAGATCGACTTGTAAGATCGAAGGTACGCAAACGACAACTTAGATAACAGCTTAAATGTAGAGTTGAACAAGAGGACTGCAAAATAAGTATTACACGCGGACAAAGTCGCTGGCACAGCTAGTTCAGTTTAAACAGTATTGCATTTCTTATTTCAAAAAATTCCAGAGGTTCTAGAGTCTCTATTATACGTATATCAGAAGTGTATCCTTTTCTAATAAACACTTCTTACTTAAACCATTTTTAGCACAGAACATTGTCGGTATAGACTCCATCAAACGTTGGATTTTGGTGATGTAATTGATGGGACAGATGATATTAATGCCCCTGGGTGCAACGTGTGCACATAATTTATGTTGCAATCCCACAAAATATGGGGATAATATCGGTCTCGGCTCTCAGGGCGGGGATTAGAGATCTGGTATAAGCAGATAATTTAAGCTATTGCTTATGTTATGTTGAACTCGTTAATAATAAAAACAATCGTTTTGGTTTTTATAAAAATATATGGAAATTAATTGTCATTGGTACCTACCATAACAATAAGTGGCATAGATTTTACTACGATGAAAAATAATTATTAGATTATATTAGTATTAACATATTTAAATGCACTGGTGGTCACAGTATATAATAATAATGTAATATATCGTTATATTATATTAATATGTCTAAAGGCAAATTGCGCACGGTAGATTAACGATAATAAAAGTATTAACTATTTATTTTCATACATCTTGTACGCGGTATACTGTTTCCCGCTCGAAAGTATTTTTTAATGCCCTCTCACCAGTTTTACAACGAATCATGTCAGGCATTGTAGACAGCGCCATCTAGCAAAGGAGCTTGGAAATGTTTTCAAATAGTAATTAACATAGTTAGCGTCTGCAACTATAGATGGCACTTCTCAAAATATATGAAACTACTATTAAAAACTTATCTTAATTATTTTAAATCAATATAATGCCGTGTTATTTGTTGCAAATCGTTAAATATACCTATATAGACGTTTATCGTAACATATTAATCTATATAGACTCGTAATTAAACATCTGTTACTTAAATTTGTTGAATGGCAGAAGACAGAAGACTCTTAATATTTCAAGTGTTCTAGACGCAGCCGGTCGCAAGACAAAAAGAACTAGGAACTTCTCAGAAAGTCGAGCGGTTTATAAAGCAAGCCCTTTGTCAATGAGATGGCTCATCTAGATAAGTGGGTGAGGCTTTCAAACTGAACTGAATATGCTTACGAACTGAAAACACTCCAGTTTAAAACACCATCCTTGTAAGGATAGCGAAAACATTAACACTATTTATCTAATTGAAATTTTTAAAACTTGGTGTTAAAAATCATATTATATTCCTCGCCCCTACAACAAGAACATTCTTTGTTCGTTCGTTCTCTATATGACATGTAAAGTTATATTTATTAAATTAAATAGAAGTAGTTATATGTAAAGTTATAGTATTGTATCATGCCTTTGTTGATATGTATTTACAATTATACATATTACCTATATCCTTAAATACCTTATTTGTATATTAATTTGTTTCAAGAGAATATATGTGCCTTGTTTCAATGCTCTTGACTAATTTATTAAAAGTTTAAGTGACTTTTATATAGCTACTTTAGAGTAACTCTAAATGTTTCCACAAAAGAGTTTCTAAAAGTTTGTCTAACCTCAGCATTTAAAGAGTTAAATTTTTTTATACTTAAATAGTTTAATTAATGAAAAAAGTTTAAATTAATTTCTTGATAGTTTTATTTATAATTTTAAAAAATATTTGCTCTTTGGAAATCTCTTTTTACGTGAGGCTTGAGGCAATCTTAATGTGACTTTCGGAAGTTTGTACGTTTTAAGATTTTCAAGTCAAAAGACTATAATTGTGTTTTGTTTCAAAGATTGACTTGTACATACGAGCTGATGGAAATCCCAGCACTTACCTGTGAACTGGTGGTGAACTCGTCTGCGGGTGGTTCCCGGGCAAACCGTTCAAACTTGAAGCTGTTAGAGCGGTAGAGTTCGTTGTCCTCCCGCGAACGACGCCCGCGGCAGAAACGCCGGGTGATTGAAGTGTGTCTGAAATGTTGTATTATTTCTTAATCAAATAGTAGGTACATTATGAATATCACATAAACAAACAGTTTTTTATGATAGAGGACAGATATAATCTTGATGGAATGTGTAATACCCCAGCTATATAACATCTAAACAAGTTGCACTGTTGACCTATTTTGGTATTGGATAAGTCTCGAAATATTTACGTAGCACTAGAGTAATAAATATTGAAAAAGAATTTAGAAGTAGACGGCATTTTCAAATGAAATAAACTTTTGAAATAATTAACATTGATGACGTCACCTCTATGATGCATCAGCTGAAAAGAATTGAAACGATGCACGTATACATTATTTTTTTTTTTTATGATAGACAGGCAAGTACGGCCATATAACATCTAGTCAAGATGCGCGGTCGGCCTATTTTGCCTTTGATATTAGGACATCGACTACCGAAACGCTTATTTGTCACTTTGTGGACACGCATTCGACTACTACCACCCATTTAAAATCCAGACGAAGTTAATCATGTTTCAGGAACATTAGAAAATAATTAGAAACATTAGGCAACCGTTGGGATCAAACATGGGGATGATCATGTATGTATATAGTCAAGATACTATTTATATTAGGTATGTAATGTATTTTATATATTATTTATTATTTGCGAGTTCTTCTCTACTAATTAGATCATCTTTCCTGATAACATTTGAAAATTTAGCCAAAATCAAGAAAAGAAAACGGTCGAATGTTTTTGTGTTCATACATACCTATGCCTAATTTACAACCGAAAATAATTAGTTTGTTACGTACTAATGATGCGAGAAATTAAAGCAATAAATCACAAAGGCAGTAATAACCCAGGTTTACTAATAGTTAATTACTTAATTAACCAATTAAGTGGAATAATTTCGCCCATAAACGCGTAATAAGCGATTAAGCAGCTATAAGCACGTTATGATTTATAGTTTTTTAACTAGTTAATATTTCTTTGTCTAATACGCCTCACAATTTAAAATGTTCAGTTTAAAATCATGGCATAAGTTTTTTATAAACGGCTATTGGGAACTAAATTGGAATACATATTGTTATTGTTGACGCTACCCAGCGCTAGATGGCGCTAGGTGTATTTTTTTTATTGCGAAAAGTTCTAATATGCTATATTGTTTTTATTGACATTATTAAGTTTTAGCTATAATTAACAGAATTAAAGCGTACCTTGAATCACTGGAATGTAGTGGCCACTGAATGCCGAATATTTTCAACTTTGCTGGAGGGCGTCTCTTTTGTTCTGTCCGCGTATTCGACTCCTCCACAGGGGGTGTATGATGTCTTCCACCTGATGAAGCTCTAGTACCGCTCCTACGTCGACGGCGACGGCGCCGTTCCACCAGAATAAAGTTATCCCCGTTCCTGATAATATATGAGGAGCGTAGAGTCGACTTTTCCTCTCCCTGCCTCTGACGTATCAAATCAGCTGTTCGCAACGTATGGATATTCTGGTACTCAGCCTCCGGTGGAGCGGATGACGTCACTTCTCTGCTGGTTCCACTTCCATCCCTTTTCTTGCGGGAGGAATGGAGACCAACTCGACGCCAAACCTTTTCCATGAATCCGCATTCGCTGTCATCCCATTATACCTCCACAGCCGCTCGCACGGCGCGACTTTTTCACTTGCACAATAAAAACGCACAATAGTTTTTCACTTGAGCACAGCCAGTTCAAGCACTCTCGACTGCCCGCGTGTTTCCTCTGAATAGGAACGTCAGACACCCATTGTCCCAGAATCGCGGACCATCGGAATCCGTAGATCAATGATAGAGCACAGGAATCGGGGCGTTAGATTAATGCCTCATTAAGACGTACTAGGTTAGTGGAATGAGGGGAGAGAATAACTTGTTTTTTAACATCACATATTATAAGGTCCCAACTCCCGGCCCTATAGACGGGGTGCGGGCGCATGCGCGGTCCCCCTCGCTACCTACACTTGAGCCCTCGGTCAAACAAAGTCGAATATGGCGGATCTTGAACCCCCTTCCCGTGCCTTTATTGAATATCTAATTTTATCCTTGCATTCGCCGTTTCAAATTTCAACCTATTAACATTTTTTACGTTACGTTTTATAATTGTGTTTTATTTAAATATACGAAATTGAGATCAATATATGCAATTTCATTTGTCCTATCGTACGTTTTTCAACCCGCATTAAAACAGTAGTTACTTTGTTTTATTAGTTTCCCTAAATAAGTAATAGGTATATTTTATCTTCATATTAAATTTAACGATTAAATTTATTTGAAGGATTAAAAATAGATTTGTTTTTTTTTCATAAGTTTATTAATATTTTGTTGTTTTGTTGATGTAAATATGATTATCTACTTAAGTTAATGTCACTTTCAATTGGTTTATCAATACATAAATGTTATCTTGAAACTATATTATACTTATCAGAAAATCTATTATCGTGAAAATATTATAACCGATATATTGATGTATATGATTTTGCATAAGAGTCTAAGAGTTTCCAACTTTCATAGCAGTATCTTAACCCTGTTACCGTCCGACTATTTCATTTTGACCTTTACAAATACATGCCAATATAAATTAAACATGTGAGGGGCTTATTGGCTTTATGGTAGCAATATATGGTAGTAGTAATCAAACACGGGACAGCAGAACGCTCACGATGCCGGTTCAAGTCCCGCCCAAGTCGAATTTTTTCATTTATTTTCGATTTAAATTGTATAACATATTTCTAATCAAATTTATAATTTTTCTGAAACACGTTGCATTTCGTCTGGAAATCTGGATATTATATAGGCTGTAGAAATATCCGTCCGGGACACAAACCCCCGTCCACAGATAAAAAAGACGTAATAATTTAATCACGTTGCAGTTTTAGTCTGTGATATTCCGAATATCAAAAACCAAAGTACCTCTAAAGTGAACCCCTGGTTTGTCTGTCCACTAATATTGTAAAAAAATGCTCAATACAAATTTAGAATTCTTTTAGAATATAAGTATTTGATATTGTACGCACAGTAGACAAACTATCCTCGCTAAAATCACCTCGCACTAAAATTTTCAATTTGTTTGTTTCCCATTAAACAAAGGAAACTTTAAGCTCAACAATGAAACGCACCTACCGAAAGCTCGTTGCATTTTTCAATGAAAAAGCTGAATACATGATGTATCCAAAACTCGCTTTAGTCTCTTTGAAATTAGGTAAGGGCTACCTTTTTAAATAGGCAGTTGCACAAAGATAATTTTTAAACAGCCAGGTGTAAGTCGAATTCGCATTACGGATTCCATAGTACTAGAAAGTATTTAATAAAAAATAACTTTTGTTTCTGGAAGTCCCTTGTAATGATTACTTTATGCATTGTTTGTTTTTTTGGGTATATTGAACCGTTTTCGCAGTGTACGCAACGGAAACTCACAAGGATGAAATAATTTCCCTTCTATAAGTTGTATCACGATGTTTTATAGCCTATAGCCATCCTCGATAAGTGGTTTAACCAACACAAAAATATTTTTTTCATTAGAACGAGTAGTAGTGCAGTAGCGCGTTCAAACGAATGAACAAACAAACTTTTCAGCTTTATATTTTAGTATAGATATAGATTTAAGATGGGCTGTCGACCTTTTTTGCCTTTGGATTTAAGAGAAATTCGTTTGAAACTTCTCGTACGGAACCCTACAATTCTCTGGCCTCCTCTTTAAACGTCGGATAAAATCACAAAGGCTTTGAGAGCTTTGAATGAGCTAAAACCACTAACTTTTTAAATCCAACGCTCCTTGTCTTTAATTAAACAGATAAAATCGCTGTCTAGCTCGGTTGTATCCTCTTCAGCGCACTCAAACGTGTACTTGCATAATGCAGTACATACCTACATAACGTGACTGTAACGGAATCCTCAATCCTGAATTTTCATACTTTATGTAGCTCAGTTTTTCAAAATGAAATTCTTCTGAAATTTAGTACCTACTAGCATATATTTTTTATGTATATAATTCCCATATAAAATCGCAACGAGGTATGCTGTCGACCTATTTTGGTTTTAAATATTTGGAAATCCACACACTGAAACCTAAATGGGATTAAACTTGACGGTTATGTAGGTGTGCCATGGTTCGTGACCTGGACAATATTTCCAGATCCTACCAGCTATTTAATAACCAAATGTCCAGACAAAGCCGACATTAAAAAAATATCGACTTTGTCGGCAAAATGTTCGACCCGGTGGGGATCTATCCCACGACACGTTGTGTTAACTATACATTGCTACCATTAGACTAACGCCCGTCAAATTATAAATAGTAGTAAATCTATACTAATATTATAAATGCGAAAGTAACATTGTTTGTCTGTCTGTCTGCATGTCCGGCTTTAACTCCGAAGCTACTTAACTGATGTAAATGAAATTTGGTACACACATATTTTAGAGCCAGAGAAAGGACATAGGCTTTTTAATGCCAAATAAGAATTGATAGGGGTTGAAAAGGGGGATGTGAGTTTGTATGGAAATTTGTAGTTTTTGAAGCTAGAACAATGAAACTTTCTTCTTTGGCTTTTTGGGAATAGGAGTGGGAATGGGTACGCGAGTGGCAATGGGAGTGAGAGTGAGTGTAGGAATGAGAGTGGGAGTTAGAGTAGGAGTCATGTGAGGTGAGAGTGTTGCGGTAAAGTAGCACTTACAACATAGATTGGCTGCCTTAAATGCGCCCTTACTAAATAATTAAAAATTCTACCCCAAGTCACTATTACACACGGACGAAGTCGCGGGCACAGCTAGTATAATAATAATTATTAAAAGCTTAGTAAGCTGGGACGTTAATATTTTTTATGTGCAGTTTGCGCGCGTGGTGTATTAACGCTTTCAATACCTATACGTGGTAAAACAGCGTAGTAACATGTCGAAGCTGGAGAACTAAGGGAGATGAAGTCTTACCTTTTATCCATTTCGTTACGATGTACTCGCAGTTTATTTCAAGAAAACTCTTTAAATTATTACAACGAAACGTAGGACGGTTTCTAGAGGCACCGGAGAGTTTCTAGTCGGGTATCCGGTTTACCACACTCCCCACGTCACACTTGCCCGACGTACGCGTGCATTAGGCATTCACACCATCAGTAAAACAAGGACGGTTTCTAGAGAATTATTAACCGATCGGCAGTTCGATTAGAAGTGTCACAGTTAAAATTTTCCCTACTTCTCATCGACGCCGAGCTTTGTTTTGTCGAAAACGCCCGTTCCGATTTGTCATTTGACGTCCCGAACTAATGACTGACATTATTTAAATACATTCATGTAACGGTTTAAAAACTATATATATATTAGGTTATAACTAATACAATATTTCACATTTAAATAAAACACTTTAGCGGTTTAAAACGCGATACATTAGTTAAACTTATTCGAAAATTATTTTTAACTTCGGCAGTCTTTTTAATAGTCTCCCCGTGACCACGGAGGCTGCAAAGCATCCGAAACGTCGGGTTAAAGTTAGAAATCATTTCCAAATAAGTTTAACTAATATATCTCGTTTTATACCGTTAAAGTGTTTTATTTCAATGTGTACTACTCGCGTAAACTATAGACAGTATACAATATTTCACGTTTTAATATTAACTCTTATATGTCACAATAGTTCTCCTATTGACTGCAAATTACATTCGTATTTAAACTTACTTTTGACCCGACATTTAAGATTCTATGCATCGACGTTTAGGCTAAACTAAATCAATAATGTATTCTGAATTGTTATAACTATTTTCTTTAAGTAGATAGTGTTTTTGTTTTAAAAATTGATGGCATATGTTATTTTTAAGTAATATAATCAAACAACTAAGAGAACAATTTACATTCGTATTTAAACTTACTTTTGACCCGACATTTAAGATTCTATGCATCGACGTTTAGGCTAAACTAAATCAATAATGTATTCTGAATTGTTATAACTATTTTCTTTAAGTAGATAGTGTTTTTGTTTTAAAAATTGATGGCATATGTTATTTTTAAGTAATATAATCAAACAACTAAGAGAACAATTTACATTCGTATTTAAACTTACTTTTGACCCGACATTTAAGATTCTATGCATCGACGTTTAGGCTAAACTAAATCAATAATGTATTCTGAATTGTTATAACTATTTTCTTTAAGTAGTGTTTTTGTTTTAAAAATTGATGGCATATGTTATTTTTAAGTAATATAATCAAACAACTAAGAGAACAATTTAATAAGACATAATTGAAAGTAGTCCTTTTTATTTACTCTATTGGAATTGATTTAATATAATCATCCATGGGATATAATATGAAGCCGAATGACATTAACAAACAACAAACACCTAAATTAATGTTGTATTACTGTAAAATTGTGTAGTTTTTCATTTAAAAGAAATGTTTTGAATGTAAAATAAACCATTGTAATTCGGAACGATATAATTAAAAAATAAATAAAATGCAACAAATGCAATAATGAAATACACTTTTATTCTTATGCAAAAGCAGGATGTTATTTAATAGGTGCATTCTTCATTGACTTTGTCATTACAGAATTTCCATTAACCTTACTAAGCAGCTTGTTTCCTTGCCATACAGCAAACAGTTGCTCATTTGTTTTTAAATCTGGCTGCAATTTCTCCCAAACCTTTTTCTTGGGATTAAGTACTTCATCTGGTTCTCCATTTTCATAGCCTTCTATGACAATTCTATCCCCAGGTTTACTGTCTTGTGGTGGTAACAAAGGTTCTACTTGTTTTGGTTCATCTACCGAAGCACATAATACCATACCCTTTGACTCCACACCTCGCATCTTTGCTGGTTTCAAGTTGCAAAGAACCACGACATCCCTGCCCTGCATCTCTTCAATTGGTACAAAGTTAACTAAACCCGACACAATCGTCCTGGGTTCTTCTTCACCTAGATCAATTTTTTCAACATACAGTGCATCTGCATCTGGATGTCTGGAAACTTCAACAATACGACCTACTCTTATATCTAATCTGCTGGGGGTAACTTCATCTGTGTTAGCTGCATTTGCCTTTACCTTAACAGGTGGTGGATAGGCTTTTTTAGCCAATTCTTGGAGTTTAGGCTCTTTAAATATCGCTTGAATTGGCGCTAAAAGTTTATTTATCGCTTGCTCAACAGATGCTTTTAAATCTCCAGGGTGAATATCTTGATTAGCAAAAGCAGTTTCAAGATCTTCAAATTTTGTATACTCAGCATCTCCACCATGCTCTTGTGCTCTACAAATTTTGAAAGTTTCACCATCTTTCATTAGAGGAAACACAACATGTTTGGTGAAAGAAAGAACACCATTATCTGTGATATTGCCTGGCTCACAGAAAGCTTTTTTGAGCTTTTTCTTAACATTAGCTGGACTATCTAAGAGATCAATTTTACTGTCCTCTTCAGAAGCAGACATTTTACCTCCAGTTAAACCTGGTACCATTGGGTTCATTAAATGAATACGCTTAGCATACCCAAGTTGAGGTAAGTATTTTTCCGCCAAGGTAAATATTTTCCTTTGATCTACACCACCGAATTGGGCATCGACCTTTAGATATTCTTCATCTAAGGCTTGGAGACCTGGATACAAAAGTCCACTCAGTAAAGGATGATCTACTTGTTTCACTACCTCAGCTCCAGCCTTTTTAGCATCATGATCAGTTATAACAGATGACATACGGTAAACATCTAATGTGTATTCTTTATTTAGCTGATATTCAGTTCCCCTCACAAATTTCAACTTTTCTAATGGAACTCCTATGGATGTTAACATAGCTTTGATTGCGGCTTCATAGTATTGAGTGCGAAGAGCAAGAAGATCCCAAGGTGCTTTCATATTATCAAGATAAGCATGCAAATCTGCCAATAATATTGTTACTTCACAGTCGGCCTTTAAAAAATCTGCTATTTTTGACATGGGCACAAAATAAGCGACATGAGGTCTGCCGGTTGTGGCAGTACCCCAATAAATTTTGATATCACGCTGTTTCAAAATTTCTGTTAGTTTTTCATCACCCAAAACCTCTTGTAGGTTTCTAGTTATTAAACCCTTTTTCTCTTCCCAATTTGACATATTGCTGATTAGTCCCTGTAAAGTGTTTACAATTTTTTAACAAAATAAACTTATGAATTCGAACAGCAAAATATGGTAAAGAACGGGACAGGCATAACCTTGTCTAAAATCATTAAGAACTTAACTACATTTTCCTTACCTATGTCTGAGATAGAAATCTAAGAAGACAATATTTTTTTTATGTAATTTATATAAAGTTTTGAAGTATACTGTACAATTTACTAAATAAATATATTTAAAAAAAGTTAATGTGATTGTGACGTGACAAAGTTAATAATCTAGAAACTTGAAATTGTCAGTATAGTATATTAATCTGTACCAATATCAATCACCACAGAGTTGAACGATATTATTCTAACTTAAATTATAATTTAACAATTGAAATTTTGTTTCAATTTTTCTCATTAAGTTTTTAACATTTTTCTGAATGTTAAAAACTTAATGAGAAAAAGTTTTATTAAATATCATGAATTTATTGATGTTATAAAAAATGTTTCGTTCTATGTTTATATACTGTTTAAAAAATTGCCCCGACATTATACTCTGTGCAAGACTTTTTACATAAAAATTACCCAATCAGCATCGACTTTATGTTTTTAATTTTTTGTTTGTCCAAAGACAATGCCCAACTATCCGTCACTAGAACAAAAATAGAAAAAAAAAAATAAACAGGATAGTTCTTACTTTAAAAAATTAAGTTTATAAATCTACTTTCCAATAGTTATTAGAAAAATATTAACAAACTAACAATAGGCTATACCTAATTATTAAAAAACTTATACTGATAAAGTAAAAATTGTTATTTAACTTAAACGTTCATATATTAATGATTAAAATGTAATTATTTAAGCATAATAAATATTGTAGTTTAATGTATATCACTATTTATTTATATTTTAATGGGACTATAACAAGATCACTTTCTTTTAATTATTATAAATATTAAATTATATTATCATATCATATGTATATTATCATGTGGTTCTTCCTAAAAATGATAAACAACTAAAATCTTCATTGTTTCAAAGGTAACATGACTATATTATAAATGTATTACGTAAATATATTATGTAGTTATGCTTACAGTTTATTTCTTACATTTTGTGTTAAAATTACTACAAAATAAAATTATGTTTAAATATAACAAAAACATAACAGGGAAAATTAAAGAATGTTATTGAAGTTATCTATTTTTAAACTTAGCGCCACTGTTGCAGTGAATGCTCGAATTTCCTGTCAAAAGCGCCATTGCGCATGACAGTCAGTGCGGCCTTGCAGACTGAAGAGCGCTGCCAACAAAGGCCGAGTCGATGGGGTTAAAAAAAATTATTATTTGATCATCTAAAACCCTTTTTGTTATTGTAATTATAATTTTAAATAGGTTGTGAATCTGTGATTACGTTAAGAAATGTGTGAATGATATGAATCGTGTCGACTAGCCAAGAAGTCAGCTGGTCAATAGTGCGAATAGTGAATAAGAAATGGCGGCCTTGCCAGCAGGTGTTCAGTATGCGTTATCATCAGAATCTAGTTATAAAGAAAACAAGGAACTAGTGTTTGTGAAATTAACGGATTCAGCACTAAAAGCTATAGAAGACTTCATTAGAAATAATAGGGTAAGTACATACGCCATATTGTTAGCACCAAAACAGGCCACCAATGTCAGGCGCCATACTTATATTTCAAGTAATCAAAATGAAACTGCAAATTGTAATGTTTTTGCGAATCAGTATTTTTCTGTCTATCTCGATAGTTTCCTAGTTTATTCAATTAAGTTATAGATAGCCTCACGAAAGATATGTTGTCTACAATGTCACGCCACGTCAACATGTAGAAATTCACTCTGTTATTTTCACAGATTTACATTTCATGTCTATATTTAGAGACTTCTAACTTATTATCCGATAATTTTATATGTATCTAGATTACAGCGACAACTAAGAGCAACAAATATAAATAGCAAGTTAGAAAGCAACTATCGTTTCGCGATAAAAACAATTGCCTGATAATTTCTTTACGACAAAAAGATACGGTAAATATTGCAAAAAGGATCATTAGAATCGGTTTTACCCGTCTTTATATATTGCGCAAAGTGAAAAAAGATTGCAGAATTTCGATTGACCTAAAATATAATATAAACACATCATTTTTCCAAAACGTTTCCAAAATAAAGCCAAAGAAAAAGCTAAATAAAATTGACTAAATGTTAAAACTTGTCAGATCTATGGAAAGACCCACTATAAGGTATGATTATGTAATAAATGACTGTCTAATCTAAAAGATAGTTTCAATATGTAAAATAAAGTAATCAAATAGTAATCTTAATATGTTAAATTTGCTATATATTGAAATATTATTTACTAATAATCAAAATAGATGCTTGTACCTATACTAAAAAGTTGAATACATTATTCACTGCATCAACTAAAACTAAAACTATATGATTAAAAGTTAGTCTTCCGCAGGTGTATTAAATTTGAATTATTATTGTAATTCTATTTTATGTAAAAAACTTAATGTTATGTTTCTCTATATGTATATAAATATAAAGTAGTCTCGTCTTCTCCTCATTTTGTCTTACAAAATATAATTAACGCTAGAGCCTCCTTTGAAAACATTACGAGATATAGATATATATGAATATTTTCAATGTTATCGATAAGTGTTACCATAAAAGCAATATATAGGGCCTAGCCCCAATATTACCTTTATTCACTTACATAGGTACATATATTCTAAACTTTATTTACGCATTGAACAAAAGATGTAGTCCTAGTTATAAAACAATAAAAATCTTAAGAAAATACTATAATAAATAAATTTAAAGTATTTTGTAGATTTATGTACTTTCAATATAGTTACTATTCTTACATCAAGTTTGATTTCTTAAAGTTTTATAATATAATATATGTAATCTAAATAATGTTTAAGGATTTCTTAGGTTTAATTTTAGTTCCTTGATGTATCCCCTAATTCTATAATCAAAATAAGTAAAATCTAAAGGACTTTGCTTTATAGCGATAGGCTATATGCTGTTTTTAAGATTGAATGGTGAATGTTTATTAATTAAGTGAAAAATAGTTATTAAAAATACAATCTTTTAAAATATTTAAACAAGGACCTTAGCTGGTAAACCACTAGGGACAATAATTAATTTTTTTTTCATAAACTACAATATTACCTATATAAAATATGCAATGATTTCGTCAACATGTATGTATTGGAGAAATCTCCTGCAAAATCACTTTTTTAATCTAACTTTCTATTAGGTTTAATTCTGTGTTTTACTAAGAATTTGCATACATTTTGCATATGTGCTACAGTATTATACAAACATTAAATATATTAACTTTCTACTGGGGTCCCTAAATTGTTATTGAATTTACATATTATTTCTTCATTGCATCGGTTGGATTTTCTGTTTTAATACTGAATACCTAATTTCAAATACCCATATAGCCAGGCAAGTTATTAAATATCAAATATATTAAATCTACATTCCAACTTGGTAGATATATTTTGAGAATTACCAACAACTCAGAATATTGTCTCCTTTACATTATGTAATCTTTGGCTAACATGCTTTTTATTCTTATACATTCAGATACTTTCTGATGGTGATTGATGCTTATGCATATTCTAAAATTACTATGATACCTGCCTCACTTAATTTTAAAACTACCGGTTGCTAAAATGAAGGAACCTAGTTCCATTCTTATTAAATGTATATATAAACAAAATTTTATTACATGATCAAACAGGGCAAAACATTGGAATTTGTTCTTTATAGATTATATGACTTTTTCTATGATATCTTGAATGTTTTAAAGATTTATACTTTGAAAGTAGGTATGTGAATATAAGTTTCTCTTCTGTTCAAATGTTAGTGTACTTTTCTTGTAAACATGATAATTTGGTTTCGAGCTAATCTCACCCAATTTAGCTGTCTCCTTTGTTTTAATAGCCCACGGGTCCGTCAACTTCCGGCTATAGAATACTTAATGACTTTTTTTACTCAGAACTATTGTTACGTATAGTATCAAAACCTATGTAATTGTATTCCTAAGTTGTAAGCGGTTCGCGCGTGCCGAGTGGGCAGTTTCGCAAAACGCCGTACATTAGGTAAGCGTTTCTGGCGCACCATCGCAATGACAATGTCTCGACTTGGTGAAAGTAATAATGCTAAATTACCAATTAATGCCTATAAATTTTGATTTGAAGGTAGTTTGACTTAATTTAATATTGGATTGTTGTGTCCCTATTCCACTGATATAATAAATACAAATGTTTTTTGACCCTTGTGTTTTTAAAAAGAAGTTGTTTAAAAGAACTACATACATTTTGATTCAATTTAATATAGCTTTTGACCTGTACTTGTAGGATTTCTATGTATTTATAGAAGGTGCAAACTTCTGAACAACTGAGTACAAACCTTTCTTTAGAGCTCAAAAATCCTACCAGGTAAAATTTTCTGCCTAATTTACATATGTTTTAACTGAACTGGCTTTCAACCAATATCAGCGTAAATCAGAGTAAAATAAGCAGAGTGTGATTAGACAAATATCTGCTATCTTGATAGCAGATATTAGCAGAGTCTAATGCTTAAGTGTTACTTCAGACAAAACGGTTTAAATAAGGCTATAATAAAGAAAATATCTCAAGTAAAACATATTTTGGTAATGTGATTCAAATTCGCAAATGTCTCTTATTTCTTAATTATGTAGTTTTCAATTCAAAAGTTCTTTCGGCAATTTAAGCCTAATTTTTAAATCTTGGGGATCGTCTATCCTAATCATAAAAATTAAATAAGAATGATACTTATATTAATAAATGTTAGACGCGTCCATAGTCTGTGACAAATGTCGGTAAGTTGCCGCTGGTCACCGGTTAACGAGGCCCACAGGAAATCATTAACTATCACAGTCGTCGATGGTTCTAGGTCATTTCTCTATATTTTAATTAGTAAGAGGCATGTTATAACGATCGACATTTTGGCTTTCGGTAAAGCGTTACTGCTATTGCATTGCGCTCTGCAAGATTTGATAGTAGATAGTAGATGCCCTAAGTACACCTGACTTATTAATATTATAATTCTTACTTCCAATCGTGTTTTATATTTTGTTTGAATTTCTAGATAGCTAAATGATTATAATACTGTCTTCCGTTCGGTGATATTACGCTTATCACTGAGCACCAAAGCGTTTATTTTATAACAGAATAAAAAAATGATAAGGCCTTTAATTAAAATATCCTTAAGTCATTCAGGTAATGACTTCCGTAACATGTCAGATTTAGGTTTTAATCGTTAAAACCTTATTGCGGTTATCGCAAGTCATCTGGAGCAGATGTTAGCATCGGATGCATTGGGCTGCCAAAATAAACGATTTGCACCGTGGACCGTAGCGCAGGTCTAATAAGCTGGTTCACCACCTGACAGATTCCGATGCACGTGTTCTCAAACCGATAGGGCATACTGAGTAAGATTAGGGCGCCCGACCATTTGTGCTGAGCCAATTTACAGCTTACTGTCAAGCTATTTAGAGCCAAATTCCTTTTAATGTGATTGACGATAGTTTTTTTTGTTACCGTTTCGTGAACGTGCCACCTGGCCTTTTTTCCTGGCCATAACGCCCATTGAAAGTTGTGAATAACTATTGTCAAATCGTATAATGTTAAAAACTTGTGTTTTTGAAGCGTTAGTACTTTTTGCAGGTCCATAATTTGTTTAAAACAAATTAATCTATGCTAGATTGAAGTTTTATTTTAAGTACCTAAATTTAAAAGGTCACTATAAATATAGATCACATAAGTAATGTAATAATAACGCAATTTTGCTTGTGTATTATGTAGTTACTATTGCGTACGTTTTCCATTATCGAAAAATAAACCTAGTAGGTACGCAATTCAATATATATATATATCGTTCAAAATAGAATTTAATAGAGTTGCTTAAAATGTTAGAGTAAAAATTCAGAAGATCGTGGGGTCGACGCACCCTCTCCCCCAATCCTTGTCACCTGGTCGGACCTCCTTAACAGATGTGTGGAAGTTTCATATTTAAAACACTACTATTATTATCATAGGGCAAGTCAAATCCCACAGCAATTTAATAAAACATGCGCGCCTTATATTACCTCTTAATATATCCTTAAATTATACTTTACTCAAAATAGTAAATTGAAACCTGTTTACAAAATGTCAGACAATCTTTGCAACTTGCTGCGCTTGACGTAATCGGCTAAATGAATGCACCGGAATACTAAATTCAAAATGTTGTCGCCTAGCTATCGTAAAATGTAAGATTTTTCAAACGAATGTGTCTACGAAGGGTTGCGTATTAATTAGAAGTAAGGAGGTTACGGGACACCGACCTTATGTTAATAGTTTAACGTATAGGCCACGGTATTGAGCACGTCGGCTCTCGCATTCATTACGAGGTATTAGACATGAGACACTTTGAAAAAAAAAACAGTATATTAATAAAAGATATTACCTACACCATGCTTAAATTCTAATATTACACATTTATATTAGGTATTCATATTCATATTATCAAAAATTACTCAAGCAATTTTCCCCAGATTTTTATAGTTGAATTCGCGAATTGCAGTCGCCACAATGGCGCAAATAATTCTTCTGTGATCTGTTAGAATGAATAAAAGCCATTATATATAGGATTTAATTTTTTACATTTTTCAATAATGTGCTAAAAACCCCTTTCAATTAATTTGCAATATCGGATTGAGATAAGTGACTTTATAATATAAACGTCACTAGCGCCTCGAGATTTTGGGGAACTAAAGTGTTTTATTATTTCGATACAGGCTGTATTAATGTTGTTTGTTATTTTTTTTATTTTAACATAATTCTTCTAACTTCGAAGTTGAACTTTGAATTGTATTTAGTTTTTAAATACTCTTATAAAGTTAAGCTATTATTTTGCTCTCATGAATCAAAAATGGGGGTTCCCTTAACTTTTTGTAACGATTGCAAACAAATCAAGGAAAGGAAGGCTTCACAAGATTGGATCTCTTTTGAATTTATTTCTTCTATACTGATAGAAATAAAAGTCGCTCTTTGTTTTAATTACATCTTAATAACATGCGCATGTGACGCCATTTTAATAACTAATATTATTGACTAATTGACATTGACTTTGTAGAACTTAATAACGACACTTGCTAAGAGGCGAGGACGACAACTAAGAGCTGTATTGATATCGACCACAAGTAGATCAAGAATTTTGATAATGATTTATGAAGAGGCCGTGTGTCTCTTGTCCATATGAAGTAGTTGTCCTTTTATTTCTATTCTCTTTGTAAAGTATTGTCCTTCTTGCGTAACTTGCAGCGACTTCTGAAGGTATATTTTGTATTGACGTCATTCGGGTCTCAGAACCGCTTGCACTAAGGCATTTCGTGTCGAAACGCTAATAATGTATCGACATCCACTTTCTCTGATGGATAAAAAAGAAAACCTTGGGTGCGTCTACGCATATTTGAGCAATCTCCAGATTCTCTCGACGAATATACAAGCTGTTAAAATTGAGATTGTTACAATGCTGTGCATGAAAAAATAAACCTTGGGGAATTCCAACTATATCGTGTAGGTTGCAACCGTAGTTCGAATCCACCTTTTGATATACGTAATGTTTATTATATTGGTGTATTAAGGAATACTCTTTCAACAAGTCGATTTATAGTAGTTAATTATCTTAAGTAGGATGTGCTGCCTAGCTAACGTGTAATACCGTTTGTGTTTATCAGAATGAGCTCAGCAGTTTTTACATGACGTAATACCAAAGAGCCATTTTCACAAACTTGCATTAAAAGTATTAGCAGGATTCGAATGCTTCGTACCTTTCTAATCAACACCACCAGCAATCATCTCAGAAACGATAAAATACTTTTTCTAAAAGGTCACTCGTATATTTCGCTAAGGTCAATTTGTCCGCTTATTTTATTGCCTCACTGTACAACGTAGCAATTCCAACCAAGGCTACGTTACTTTAAAATATGTAAGTATACTTATGATAACGACGCACATAGCTTCATAATTACTTGGAAGTTGAACTTTGAGAACTTTAATAAGTCGGAAACCATACAAAATGATAATTTTTACAGCAAACTATGTAGAATACTAATCTCGTTCAAGGATTTTGTTTTATGTACTCGTATCGGGTATAAGCTCAAGCAAAATTGTTACGTAAAAAATATATAGATTTTAATATAACACGTAAGAAGTAAGTACTCTGTATAATAAAGTTTATATATTTATAATTACTTTCAAATATCTAAAGACAAAAATTAGCCGACGTCTTGTTATCTGGCACCTTTCATCAAGTGAATTTCTTTCTAGTGTGTCCCCTCTCATAAAAAAGTCATATATTTTAAGCTATTTATTATTATTCGTGATAATATTACATTATATGTGGTTAAAAAATATGTTTTAATGCCAATAATAATTAATTTCTTCGTGACAATATAAGTTTTAAAAAATAATTGGAATAACATTTATTACGACCTTGCCAATCCGACCGGTTCGGCATTCGCGACTGGTTTCAATTCTTATAAATTGTTTTTAACATCACGATTTAGTACATATCGAGTCCACTCTATTTTACAGTATTGAAATGTTTGTGAAATCCCGTTTCCCGGTATGATTTTTTGTACAGGCGATTAGGTAGGTAGGTAGTTAGATTTGTCTCTGCCGATCTTTACATGGGATTCGATCCCTGGACCGCACGCACATAACGCTGCGAACTGTGGTCTTGTAATGTACATAAAGTGATGCTCAGATCAGTCTTTGATATCGCACACGACACCAGTACGCAATGAAAAATAGACATCATGACCATGGATTTTAGTTCCGGGTCATCCCCTCTTGCATTGACTGCGATGCAACTAAATTTCACATTGAGCTCGCTCGTTAAGTAAGTAAGTAAAGCAATTTTTAAATTTACATCATCGCGGGCCGCTCAGTCTAGTTAGAACTTGTGTTTCTCGCATTCGGCCATCGGTTGTGTAACATACAGCGGCTTGCAGACATTGTGGCCACTTCACAAACAGTAATTGGTTCACGTCTTATCATAATTAAGTAGATATCCGCCCTTTGGCAGACATTAACGCGAAACACCCACTTCCGGATTTATTAAATCGCTAATTGCATCATGAATTTGATTTCCTTGGGGTGTTAAGTCAGCGACGGTGATTCAATGAGAATTTTCTATATTTGAAATGAAAATAAGAATGTATGTACATTAATACACAGTATTTTAGTTTTAATAGCATATAGTTGTGATATGAAACACATTATCCTTATTATGATGCGGTAAGAACTAGAGCGTCGGATTTTTGCGCGAAACTATAGGGAAACGATATATAAAGGATAACTTGTGATTTATTGAAAGAACAAAGTATAATCTTACAATATATTCATTTAGGCTTTAACTATTCGATGCCCGGTAGCAAGCACTAACAATTGATTACTTACTACTTATGAATGGGTTCCCAGGTATCAAACTATTTTTTACTGTTATTAAATGTTATAATAAAAATGGCCATTTAAATTCAAACTAATCAGTCACCAGATTTAGACTGCTCTTACGTGGTAAAACATCAATGGCTTTCCGAATTTGATAACGTAAAATTAATTAATACTTTCTAGATATACAATATCACTAAGCACTTTGAAATTTAAATATTTTTTTAAAAATTACATGCTATCTGTTTTAAATATGTACTATAATTATTATCTCTCGCATTATCAACATTAAAACTGCAACGGGGTAAAGCAACTACGTAACGGTCTGGTTTCTCTCATTGATTAAAAATGGGCTGTCTCTTCCCATCCTGACCACAATGCTTTGTAGAATATTCAGATACGAACCTTGGACCTCGCCCAACGGAAGGCGCTGCCCCTCACAGCAGTCATTTCTTTGGACATGACTAGTCATTCTTTTCTATCATACAAGTTTATTCACAAACGTCTTTCTTTTCTTTCAGGACAGGTTGGCAAAACCTAAAATACAGTTCCTGGCCGGAAATGAGGGGGTAAGTGATTTCTTCATGTATAACCGTCTCATAAAGCTACGTTCACATATATTATCAGTCCACTTGTGATATAAGAACGGCACGTACTTATCCAGCGAATTTACATAATACAATGACTATCTATACGGTATTAGGAAATATGTTGAGAAACACCTAATTACGGTTGCATACAAAAACGTATTAATCATCAATTTCATACGCATCCTTGTACTAACACAAGTGGAAAAATACCTTTTACTGTCGGAACACTTTAATTAAGATAAAATTTAGCACAGTCTCGACGGATCGCATAGAATTTACATCGTCACTTAACATGGAAACGGAAAATGAGTCACAGAACCATGCCGTACATTATCAGTTGGGTAATTCGGGCCGGTAATTTTGTAAAAATCTGCGGGAATATATTTTAAAGAGTAGTCCCCGAGGGTTTCAAAATCTTGTTAATTTATTTTGCTAATTTAACCGAACGGTTTAATAAATATAGAAAATGCACAATCTTATTTGCTTACTTTATTTTGAAACAATAAAATTGTATCGGGGTCACACTAACGGGTAATAAAGGTTCCAGTTCACATAGCCAAAATGTCTTCGGCATGCGGTTTGTTCTGTAACAAAAGTAACAGGAAGATCAAATCATTTCAATTAATCATCCTGGCCAATCATGATGTTAAAGTGTCGTTTAACAACAGATTTGACAGCGGTTTAGCTTTGACTGGGTAATGTTTAACTGCCACCTGGAATATAGGCTATAGTCAACATCTCGCTCGTAGCAGAGCAGGAGCCGTGGACGTCGCCATCAGGCCTTGACTCGCCTCAGGCCCGGGCGTACCAGTTAACGCTTGCGGCACTCGATACGCTTGCGAAATTATATTATGATGACCCACTTTACCGATTTCGTTTTGCTGCTTGACGTTGCGGTTGCTCTATTAAAGACTTTTTATCTAAAATGTCGAAAATTACTTAGTCCCTACTTAACACTGATTCGAATCAATCTGTCCCAATTCAATACAATTCTAAATGAGGACACTTTTTATAGTAAACTTGCTTTTTGTCGTTCGGAATGCCGCCGTGTTGAAATATTTTTTCTTAATCACTGATTTGGTTATTTAAACATTACTTCCCTCGCTGATCTCACGCGTAATGCCTCTCGATTAAGCGATCATATAAAAACGTAACTAATGCAATATTGTTTACACGGCGATAATCCTCATGCTATCCCCTGTCCGACGGGCGGCGCCGTCGACCGGTTTAGTCGCCACCGTCCCTCGCTCGCCGGTTTGACGTGATCACCTCTCTTGTTGCTCGTCGCCACTTGTAACATATGTAAATGACCCTCTACAACCTTTCGCCTCAAAAAAATCCTTCACCACTTCTCGTACGACGCGTACTCGCGAAACAGCGTGCGCCCGACGAACATCCTTGACTTTGTTGCTTTAAAAAGGTCTAAGAAGACATCCGAGATTGCTTTCCGCGAACCACTTTACCATCATCGTATCATTCCTCGAATATCTCGCGATCGGGTGTGTTAGGTCCGAGTCGCTGGCTCGTATCCAACTTGCACATAATAACCACGATTCAATGAGTCGCGGGACCAGAATAGTAAATAAGATACGAGTGGATGGTGTAAAAATAGCAACGGTTCCAGTCGCCTAGCGAACATGCGATTGCACCTCCCAGGTGCGACGGCCGTTGTCCTCTGCTAAAACGCTCGTTACTCCAGAGACCCGGTACTTTACCCTGGCGTAAAAACCCCAAGTCTCGTTCGTCTCATTACTAATCCCTTATTTTGCCGGGGGTTTCTAGTTTGTCAACTGCTTTGATGTTAGTTAATATATGCAATGTAAAAAAAACTATAGTGTTGATAGATTTTTTTCTGTAGCCACGTTACATTTTGGAGAAACTAGTTTTAATTTACAATCACATTTGTATCAATGTCGTTATGCTTAATATCTTAATTATCTAATTGTAATACCGAGGTGTACAGTGTGTCTTCCTAGTATTAAATTTTCCTGTTAATATTTATAACGTTGAGCAACTTGTTGTGCTATTGTAATCTTTGTAATCACATGATTCATAAATCTGTTCGATGAACCTTTATTATAATCCATATTATATTGTTTTACATTTGGTGTCAGCGAATTATTATCAGTACTGTATGCAGTAATTATTAAATCTTCAAAACAAAGTGACTGGGTGTTTTCCTTTGGCTGTAGTATTTGTCGTTATAGTTAAGGCAGTTGGGTGTTAATAATTTTAGCTTATGTAGCCTAGCCTAGTAAATGGTTACAGATGAATATAATTTTGTTACACACAGGTCGATGTCCTGCGAAGTCGCTTTATTTACACCATTACTTTACGGGCCCGTTATTGCAAACCTTGAAAACAGGATCCATTTTATCAAGCGCATGAACACTTTGAATTTACTGCTACCCGCATTTATTTTGGATTGCTTTGTTACAATGATTGTGATTAATTTATTTTAGAGACATAACTGGTATAGAGATGATCATATTATAACCCTATCACTACTTAGTTGAATATTAATATAAATTTTAAAATCTGTTAAATCGTTTGATTTTCAAATTATATACATTTTTTGAGAATAAACATTTTGGCAAAGCATTCTAATGATATTGTTTAAGCCCAATACGAACAAAACTAGGTTTTACGTAAAATTTGTCCGATTATAATGGGCGCACGTGATCAAACAATGGTGTTTGCTTTAGCGACAAGGACGATCTCAGTTAACTATTCAAGTTAGAAGCCTTTGTTATTAAACTTTGATTTTAGGCTATTCAAATATCAAAGGTAAATCTAAACAAATCCTTTACTTAATTCGATAGTCAATTACATAGTTATGTGGTTATTTAAAGTTAACTTGAGTCTTATGGAATCTTATAAAATCAAAAGGATTGAGAAAATTTACTTTTGACATACTGTCTTTGTGGTTTAAAGGAATTAAGAATTAATTACGACTATTCTATTCATTATTCTGTTAGATGGTGTGTCTACTATCGTTTACTCAGACTAGAGCACGATGGAATTCTAAATGGCGCATTGCTAATACCGAAATACAGCGACTGCCTAAACAGTGAATTTCCAAGATTCCTAGCTATCAATAAGTAGGACCATAATATTCTTGGATAACGTTTACGTTATTTGAATGTTATTTACAGTGTTATTATAATAGCATTCTCTCTTTTACTGACATAATGCAAATACATGCATACCGGATACTATAAAACCTATACGAAATCATTCTTATTGTTAATGTTGCAAACAAAGATACCTACTCTGTATCTGAAGTATGGAGTTGAATTAATTGAATTTCCAAAAATATATAAAATAAATTGTTTTCATCATAAAATGAAACAAATAAAGCATGAGATGATATTTTTACTGCAAAGTAATTATTTAGATTTGGTCATTCCTAGACGACTTTATATATACGGCTCCATATATATATATAACTAGCTGTGTCAGCGACTTTGTCCGCGAGAATCGTTATTTTGGGCATCCAAATTCGTTTTTGAAAACCCCCTTCATCTTTATAAACGTAAACCGTTACCCCACGATGTCGGTCGCGTCACTTACCGTCGTTCTTGCAAGTTAATCTAAATACAAGATAGACATATAGCGTCGCGGACTTTTTTTTAATAATTTAAATTCATTCTTTCATACATATTTTTTGGATATCTTGAACCGTTTTCGCAGTGTATGTATCGGAAACCAACAGAGATAAATAATTTTCCCCGGCATTTTCCACAGTTCTCGCTGTTTCTTGGCTCCTATTAGTCATAGATGTTTTATAGTCTTCTTCGATAAATGCTCCAACCAACACAAAAATAATTTTACATTTTGAACCACTCTTCGGGTTTATATATTAGTATAGATGTATAGTGATGTTTATTCGGTAGCGTCGCGTTTGCGAGGGTGCCGGGAGCAGCGGAACCGCCGTGATTTCCTCGTGGTAATTGCCGAGGTATGCGGACGGCGACCGACTCGTCTTATTGGGACTAAGTACGGGCCGAACGTGCTCGCTATTTACTTTCACTTCGTACCGAGCACAGTAGCACTCATAATACAACTTCGCCCGATATCCACCTGCCGATTACGCCCTAACATATCACGAAGTCAAAATCGCAACATTTGTGCAACCTCACCGCTTATTTCGTTGAAAGGTCGCGTAAATACTTTCATAGGTTGATTGAATATACGTAACCTACATAACTTTCACTTTTAGTTGTAAAAGTGATATTATCACAACCACACCTCAATCGAATACTGCCGGTCTTATTTTTGTCTCGGTTCAACCAGATTTAGATTCGTTTTGTTATGTCGTGTTGATGTTAGGTCAGATAAATTGAAGCGACTACTAGAGTAAAATTATGACAGGCTAAAACATTTGCAATTTTCATAATCATTAGCTTAAAAATGCGGTTCAACGACCGTGCATGGAGTGTGGTTGCAATTCATCATATGCAATGATAAGATAAAAAAAAACAGCAGCAGGCAAGAAATTAAAGGGTAACTACACATTTTTAAATAACATAGACTAAAGTTAGATCATCTCATTTGTAAATCTAGTTAGCAAGTTCGATTTGAAGGGATCCAGGATTCGAATCTCCATTGTAAAGCCTATACGTCTAGAAGATCAGAGCATTATGATATCCTGTTCGGTGGCTGTAAATAAGTAAAATAGACAAAATAATGTGTCTGCCACACATACACAGGAAAAACGGAATTTCTCTTTTCTTTTACTAGGGTTTAATGAGTAGTGTACCCGTGGTGTTGTATAACAGTCTTACTTTCAGATCATTCAAGCCACAGCGCTTATTCAAACATTAGTCGAAAGCAATACGAGATTTTCCGCAAACGGTTCGTCTTGATGTTGTTCTTCCTTTAAAGAAGGGAAAGTTTCTAGAGAACTCATCATCACTACGCAGTTTCAATTGGCCTTCTTGCCAGAACAGATACAGTTTGCGACAATCAATTGTAGT